TATGTGTATGACTGTATTGCCTGCATGTATGTGAGTGCACCTGTGTCATGCAATGCCATGGTATATTTGATAGACACATAATTAAGAAAAAAAGTGGATGGATAAGTGAATGCTGGATAGATGAATCATAGATGGTCCTGACTTGACTGGGAGGAAGAAGAGTTCCTCAACAACTGCAGTCAGTGAGTGACAGGTATAAATGACACCAAATTGCCCAGCTTATTTTGCTGTAGCTAATGCCAAACACAGCTAAAGTAATCACTATAGACTTCTGGGAAACGCTGTATTTTCTGAACCATAGAGTAAAGCACAGTGTGTACGTACCAAGCTTCCTAATTGCCCACTGGGTTGTAAACAGCAAGGGCAATGCTTTCCTTGTGATAAACACAAATACATACAAACAGCACTACCTCTGGGGGGAAATAAGTGATGGGGGCATTCAGCAACGATAACAAAATAAATGAGAGCTAATGGTCCTATACTAAAGCAGATTTTTTTTCAAAGGGAGCTGTGTTTTCACAGTGTCTCTGTGACCTCGTATTATTCCATTAGTTTCTAGAATAGTATATAAAACACCAAGCTCCATGCTGACAAACACCAATATTGAAACTATTGCCACAGTCAATCCAAACAGCCTTCTCCCCTGGGCCAAATTATTATTTGGAACACAAGCAGAATTGTGGTTCCCTGAGCCAGCAGAGCATAAATGAGGGCAGTGATTCATAAGGTGACTCTAGCAAGTTTGCAGACGTGCAACTTTTGAGGCTCACATGCACAGGAGAAGCTTGGCATTGCCTTTTTGAACTATAAGCACTTCCTGGCACACTACCATTTCAGGACTTAGAGGGCTGTGGAAGGATGCAGTTTTCTGAGGACAGGAGTTAACCTGACAGAATGCTGATTTCCCAGAAATAAACCTTTCAAATCGGATCACACCCTTGTCAGTAGCTCTTTGAGCGGGAAGATGGTAATTCTGCCTCTTCACATGCTCCTTAAAGTCCTTGAACTCTTATACCATTGGATTAAGCTTTTGGAGGCTGGGTCACCTGGGGCCTTAAGTCTATCCTGGAGAGGTTGGATGAAAGTGGTATTGGTCTAAAAATACGACTCCCTGAACTTTTAAACCTTCAAATCTTCTTTATGACTTTCTTAATCTTGAACCTGATTTCTTTAATTAAAAAAAATCCATTTATTCTTTGATATTAGTAGAGAAAGTTCAAAAAGAGCAGAAATGGGCAGAGACCATGGTTGTGTGCAGAGAAGGAAGTGAAAGAGCCTGTAATGATGCCACATGATTGCAGCCTAATGAGATGTCTGCTGAGTATATCCCCCACACTGAGGTCCTTCCTCTGATAGACTTTGAAAGTGACAAGCCCCAGTTCTCCTGTGACATTGTACCAATTAGCTGATGTAAACGGGCACACAGGCAAGTTTAAGGTCACATACAGTTCTCAGGGGTGACACTGTCCCAAAGAAACAAGCTCTGACTCACCATCTGTATGATGATAGGCCGTGTGTGTGTGTCTGTGTGTCTGTGTGTCTATGTTGTCCTGGAGTTGTTTGATGACCCCCCCTTTTCTATTTTGTGGTCTTGTATGAGGACTTCTTTGGGATGAAAACAAGAATATTCATCACAGACTTAGTTAAAAAGGTGTGAGTTCCCCTGTTGGGGTTGCAATCAGGGGGGTTCTGTGATCTTATACTGATGTGGCCTCTGCCTAGAGAGCCCGGGCCTGACCCACAATGCCTTGCTACCCAGTGAGAAGAGGCAGAGGCCCGTACTGTGCCCTTTCCAGTCAGCTCACTGAATATTCGGTCATCTAACTGTTGTCTTCCATGACTAAAAAGCACAAACGCAGAAACCTTTGCATAGAAAAACAGCACAAGATTGAGTAATTATATAGCGTCCAGACAGGGAGTCAGCAGGGCACGCAGCGCTTCAGAGACAGACCGTGAACACCAACCTGGAGCTAGCCCAGTGTGAGCTCCTGAGACTGTGGTAAAGGCACAAGAGCCGAGGAACCTGTTCCACCACAGAAACAAAAGCTGTGTGTATCCAAGAAGAAGAGACTTGTTCCCTGAAAAACACCCAGAGGAAAACAAACAAGCCCCTGAAATATGCTTGCTGTCAGCTTTGGGTATTTAAAATGTGGGCCTCGTTCGGGGCACCGTCTCATCCTTCTTCTCTCTTGATTTCAGCTCCCATTTTCTCCAGCAATCATTCAAGCCGAAGTGGAACAGCTGCTGGGGCCGTGCCACCCCCACATCCTGTCAGTCACCCTTCTCCGGGACATAATGTACAGGGGAGCCCCCACAACCCCTCCTCCCAGTTACCTCCACTCACAGCTGTGGACGCAGGCACTGAGAGGTAAGGCCATCTGTCTCTCTCTCATAATAGGTGTCGTCGCCAAACCTCCCTCCACAGAGAAGAGCTCTGACAGTTGCTGAATTTTATTAATAATCTGTTAGTGGGTTGAATTACCCAGAGGTGACATTTTAAAAGTAACATACACAAAGAACGTGGACCAAATATCTCATTATCTGTTACATTTTTCCATGGGAAAACAAATGAAATGATATTGGCAACTGACAACTGAAGTGTCAGGTGCTGGGAGAATGATGAGAACACTCCTGTCTTTTCTACTTTCTCTCAGATTGTTTCAGGGACTCAGTTTTAAGCAAGTTGGGGAACTTTCTGGATGTAAATGGTACCATAGTCACATAGATAGTGATAGGAGTATGCGTGCTAGTCAGTTTCCATTACTGACAAATTATCTGAACGAATCAACATAGAAGGAGCTTGATTTGGTGCACTGTTTGAGAGAGCTCAGTCCATGGTCATTGGGCACTGGTTTGGACCTATGATGGCACAGTACATCATGGCAGGAGTGTGTGGCAGAGGAGGCCTGTTTACCTCATGGTGGCCAGGAAGCAAAGAGGCAGTGAGCCCAGAAGGGACTCAGTCTCAGTATCCCCTTCAAGGGCACATCCCCAATGATTTACCTTCCTTCTACTAGGCTCTACTTTGTCAAAGTTCTACCCCAGGAGCATTGCTGGCTGGTGCTTAGCCAGTGCTTCAATGCATAGGCCACTGAGGGAGATTCAAACTCCAGCATCTTGGGAGAAGATCCTAAAGTGATATAGAATTTCACATGAGTGACCAGAAAGGGGCTGTTCAAAACTTTTATGTTGGTATCACACTCATAAAGAATTTCTGTGGGAAAAATTTCAAAAGCTGTACCTTCGTGATGTTTTACTTCTGAATTCCCCACTGATTTCAGAGGTTTAGAGGGACCCTTCTCATACTCCCCAGTCTTATATATTTATGTGAACCACAAACCAAAACAATTTCTCAGTGAGTGAAAGACCCAGTGGTCTAGGCATTGAGAAAAGACTAAGCCTGCTCCATATGGATCAAGGGGAGCGGTATGTCACAGAGCAGGGAAATGATAGAAAATGGGCTGTCAGGGAGGACATACAGCTAGTCCAGAGGTCTCAGTCTGGGTAGCCACCTGTAGGGTACACATGGATCAGGTGATGATGATGTGGCGCCCATGAAACCATGTACTTCACAACTAAGGAGTTTCCCTTATCCCAGTGGAAGCAAAAACTCATTGTTAGGAGAGAGATACAATCAGACTGACTAATGATAAAGGAAGGGCTCTGGATGAGAGGGTGATTTGTCATTAGAGTGGGAAGAATAGGAGCAAACAAAATTGAGACTGTTTCAGGGCTCCTCGTGTACAATAATGATGCTTTGACATAAGGCAAAGTAGTGAGGAGAATTTATTCAAGAACTTTATCAGAAGGCAGAATTATGCTAGGAACAAAGAGAAGAACCAAAATTAATTCCTGAGTTGCCTCTAGAAAATTGTGCCATTAACAGAAAAAAAAAATACAAAAGAGAAGGAATGGTAAATTGACTCTAGGAGCCCGAGTTTTAGGTGATTATAAAAGATCCATGTGAATATGCATGACAGGCGACTGGAAATATGAATCAGAAGGATAAGACTTATTTCAACAGTCCTGTGTACATGGTAAAGTGTGGACAGCTCATCAGCTTCCCCTCACAGGCTCTGTCTGTACAGCAGTGTACATGCTAACCACCCATTAAGTTCACGGTCACTGGAGACAAGCGAGCCACCCTGCCCAAATTGAGATGAGTTATTCCTTACAGTATTTTTACAGTTTCCAGATGACTTTGAGAAAAAAAAATGTTAGCCATGGTGTTTCTATCACCTCATTTCATTCCACTGGTGGAAACTCAGGCCCTACAAGGCAGTGAAGCTCAGAACCAACATGTACCTCCCCACCCCACCCTCCCCAACCTTCCTCACTACGTCTCTCTATCGGTAGTTACAGCAACTTTAGGAAGGACAGAAAAAAGTCATCGTTGTGTCTCTTTATTCTACACATCCTTTGAACAAAAACAGGTAGGAGAAGACTTTCAACACTATTGGAATAAAAAATCCCAATGATGACACTCCAGTCCGTCCAATGTTTGCCCCCAAGTTCTGACAACTGGTTAATTGTCTGTGGGCAAGTTTCTTCGCTGCTTCTGTTGCTTGGAGTTTGTTTTTAAACATTTTATCTTTTTTTAAAATAATGTATTATCCTTTTAATATCTTACTCAAAAATTTCCAAAATTAATGCAGTGAATATGGAAGACCCTGCATTCCTATTCACCCACTGCTAATATTTTGCCTCTATCACTAATGTGTTTGCTTTCCGAACTCTTATTTGTAAACCATTGAAGAGATAGTTGCAGATATCATCAAGTTCTACCCTCATTTACTCCATTAGAGCTCTCAGAAGGACACTTTCTACACATGTCCAAAATCATAATCACACCCAGGATAATTATCATTGATAGAATACCATTATCTGATAGTCAATAGTCAGATTTCCTCATTTTAAAAATTTTATGTGTATGAGTGTATTACCTGCATGTATATAAGTGCACCCATGTTGTACAATCCCACAGAGGTCAGATGGCATCGAATCCCCTGGAACTGGGGTTATGAACGGTTGTTAGCCACCATATGGATGCTGAGAATCAAACCTGGGTCCTCTGCAAGAACAATCAGTGCCCTTAACTGCTGAGCCATCTCTCCAGCCCCCAGATTTCCTCATTTTGTGAATACTTTACTTTTCATGATTCAAGGCTCTAATAAGGATCCCACTGTATTTCATTCTCTGTTCTTTTCAGTTCCCTCTGATGGAATGACATTTTCTAGCTTTTGTTATCATTTACTATCCTTCAGAACACTGACGGTTTTGAAGAACTCAGACACTTATCTTGCACAATGTTCCATAGTTTGGATTTGTCTGAGTATTTCCTTCTAAACGAGTCATTGAATGGTACGCCACATGAGTGCGATGGTATTCTTTAACTTTTGAGACTTAGTTTGCACCTCATGGGGAACTACTATCAAAGGAATCAAAGCAGGGGAATTGCTAACATGTTCTGTGGTGTGAAGCACCCTGCAGTTCCTCACACATGCCTGCTTAGGGAAAGACAGCGTACCTTGGCATGACTGAGGAATTCAGGTTAGAATCTAGTAGGTATTCAGTGATCACAGTGCTCAATAATATAAATAACCATGAAGGGAGGAAGGAGAAGAAAGGGAAGTGGTTGGCTTTATGTGAACTGACAAAGTGGGCATTTGCACTTTTGTGGTTTTGTATTGCTGCGTGTCCTTCCCACAGGATGTGTGCCCTGATCTTGCGCCAGCTTGAGTGACTGGGCAAGTGTGAGGGGTGGGTTATCTCTTCCAGTAAGTTTTGGAAAGAGGATGACACAGAGCATCCTGGATTATTCGGTGTGTTTGCACCAGGGACCAGGTTGAAAACATCAAGAGGAAATTTGCTTACCTTCCGCTTTGGGTTTATATATCTTTGCGTCTGTTTGCCTGGGAATTCCCCCAGTAAAAACTCCAGTGGTTTTCTTAACGGAAATAGGTTTATCACACTTTGCGATTTTTAGTGGGACACTGGCAACTTTTCCTACTTTGCAGGCATTGATTCATCATTTACTTAGCTTTGGCTCATTAATAAAATGGGCTGAGTCACTGTCAGAAGTCAGGAAAGGGCCACCACATCTACCCATCTAACATAAAGTTCATTGATCTTAAACCATCATAAAATATATGTAAGTTCTCTCAATTTGATGAGATTCCACTTTTGTTTTGAAATATTATCTGAATGACACATTATTTCAGGGATTTTTGCAGTATCATACCACATCCCTTTGATGTTGATTTAAACTTATTAGGAAGTGGTGCTTTACTATGTCATGTTGAATAAGCCACTGGTACTTTATGGGTATAACAGTAATTTCTCATGAGAACTCAGTGTCTTTGGAAACGTTAATTCATTGGGCTTCATAACATATCTGTTACACCAGAAAATACAAAATTACTGGCGGGCAGTCCTTCCCGAAATGGAGAAGTTTTTGCAACCACAGTAAGAAGTCAGCTGGGTTTGTGTCACTCATGTTTATGAGGGAACGTTAGCAGCCTCCCATCCTTCTGAAGGTCACAAACATGGTGCACTCGGAGGGAACAGTGACAGGGTTGGAGAGCAGTGGACTGCCATCAGTGAAGGGACTTACAGCAGCTTTCCTGAACCCCACTTCTGAGTATAGAAGATTAAAACAAAAGAAAGGATGAGTTCTCTTTGTGGAATACATAGATTGACAAATGAATCAGCATCAGAAAAGCTTTAGGGATAATTGTTTGGGAAAAGTGGTCAAATCACCTTTATCAAATACAGAATGCCAGTTTCTTGAGTCCCCTACTGAGCACTCAAAAGCCTCACTGCTTTTTCACTTGTGGAGTATTTCAGATGTGGCATTGCTGGAATTCTAGACACTTGGATACATATGAGGTATTTGTATGTCTCTCACTAACTGTCTGAGTTTGCTTTTTATTACTGTGATAAAACATTGGGAACAAAAACAATTTGAGGAGGAAAGGGTTTGGTTTTTCTTACATCTCCCAAGTCTCAGTTAATCACTGAGGGAATTGAGGGCAGGAATTCAGGGCAGAAACTTGGAGGCAGGAGCTGAAGCACAGACCATGGAGGAACACTGCTTACTGACTTGTTCCGCTGACCTGTGCTCAACCTGCTTTCTGATACAACACAGGACCACTGCTTAAGGATGGCACTGTCCATAGTGGGCTAGGCCTTCAGACCCCAGTCAACAGTTTAGAAAATGTCTCACAGACATGTGTACAGTCCAGTCCAATGGAGGTTCCTAAATTGAGATTCCCTCTACCCAGATGTGTAAAGTTGACAACTGAAGCTATCCAACACACTAACTGAAACTGATGTTCATAGGTGCCGTATTCTACTGGAAACTACTAC